AAGGGTCAAACACAGTTTAAGAGTAAAGCAAATAATACAGTGTAGCGTAAACATAAATGTCTTCAATATGCTTCGGAACAAAATGAGGAGCAAAAAACTGATTTGGATCAAATAAGAGTGGGTTAGATGAAGATAGAAAATATGGGAATAAACAACCCCTAAAATTTCAGCTCAAAAAGTAAAAAGGCAAGAATAGCTACTTTTAAATGAATTTGCATGCGGAATAATAATTGAATGTTAATACCAAATTACAAGTAAAAAAACAAATAAAAACTTTATAGAAAACCACAGTTAGCTTGCCTGAGAAGAGGCTGAACTGAGAATCAGGCCTCATTTGAACTAAAGATTCCAAATGAGGGGAAAAAGAAGTCAGCTTCCGTGAAAAAGTGTTATCATCCGTGATCGATAATCCTGATGATAGGTTTATCCAATCAAAAGTTTCTGGAGGTTCTGGTGACATACGTCTGCACTGATGTGTCTGCTCAATTCGCCGACAGGCCAAGGGTATCATCTCGTCTGTTTTGGAACTATCTTTGGACTCAATTGAAGACGAACAAGAATACTGGAAAGCTCCATTGGCATGAGTAGTATGAAGACAAGATCTTCCACGGCTTTGACGAGCAGGAGACTGGTCAAAATTGGTCAGATAGGAAATTACAGATGGCCGAGTTTGAGCACCATGGCTGCTGGAAACATAGCATCTAGCTAGTTTAGCTTTTGAAAGTTGTCCGTCTTTGCAGCCGTTGGAACCAGATCTAGGATCGGCTAAAACTGGAGTGATGGCAGCATCATAAATATTGTCAGATGAGGAACTCTTCGCAAGACCTCTCGGAGACTTTATTGACGTGAAGAATTATGCAAATAAAGTAGGAATATTTATAAGGAAAATTCGTAGAGGATAATTAAATTAACATTCTTATCGGTTTTAATTGTAGGCATTAATGAACTTATGGAAAGCTTAAATCATAGGATTGGCTAAAGCTAACATAAATTGGGATATACAAATTCCTTTTTAAATAGACAAATTTTAACAATGTAAGACAGATACAGAAAATGTTCAGTTAAAAATATATCACAAAAAATATGTATCTATAGAAAAATACAAGTTTTTCACCTGGTTAAAGACATCAGTTTGAGGAATATCGGTGGAGCCGAAGCTAGTTAGATTATGCAAATCAGCAAAAGAGGGATAGTCGGAGGTGGACTTATTTAATGAGCCATCGCAACGACTTGCAACTCTATCCTTGCACAACCAATGACAGGTAAAGTGACACCCTTAAAAATAAAGATGTATAAATGCATGCTAATGAAAATACTATTTTAAGACGAATAGGAAGAATTTATATTTATCTGAGGCATTCGCTTACCTGCACATCTTAGGCAAACAGGGCCCCATCCCAGTCCAAATATTGGTCGGCTGCATAGATCACAAAAGGTTTCTGATTCTAGAGGAATAGGGCAAAAATGGTGTCCATTCGTTGGCTTCAAATTAGCCACAAAGAAATCGCTATCAATAATAGCATTTCTTGACCGATCATCACTACATTCTGTGTGACGTCTACGAAACACGATGGGTGTATTGACATCAATTTTTTGAGATTCTGGATCATCTAAATTAGGCGGAGTTGAACACGAGTGCCGAGAGTAGGCAGACCTAGTAGAACGCAGTTTCGACTTCATATAGATCCTGTCTGTATGCGGATTTTGATCAAAGTTAAGGATGGATTCGTCTGTAATCGGGTCAGTCCAGGGAAAAGAAGGCATTTTAGGTGAGCCCCAAACAGAATGATTATCATAATGGCAGAGGCCTGGATAAGGAGGGCTGGGAATGCTAACAGAATTATTATTGTGTGATTTTATCAGATTGACAAAAGTCCGTTTAATTCCATTAAGCATCTTGAGCCCCGTCTTCAGACATCTTGCTAGGAATGAAAGGGGCAAGGCAAAAGGGAATTATAAGGATTCAGCGATTTTGACGTACGCGCTATTTGTATAAAACCTTAAGTGTGTGTAATAATTCTTATTATTGAAATTTTTATTATTTTAATTTACTATATTATATATATATATATATTATGTTTAAGCTATTAAATCAAAATTATTATGTTATCAGATCATCACTTATCAGTAAATTCAGTAAATTCAGCAAATTCAGTTGGCCTAACTGCCCATTCCTCCAAGCCCTCCGGTATGGTCCACTCCGTACAGGATGTTGATCGCTCTCTTCTTCATCTTACTTTAGATGGTGACTCGGTACTTAACGGAAAGCTAAAATGTCCTAAGAGGAAGTCGGGGGGAGGCGAAATAGCGAGAGATATACAATCTGCAGAATGTTATCCTAAGCAAAGTTTGCTAAATCCGTCAAATTGTGAACGTAAGTGCTTTCCGGCTTATGCTCGTGCCTAGCCCCTCAAGTCACCTTAGAAGCTAAAGAAGGGTCTGTTGGAGACATCGAAAAGACTAAAAAAAAAAAGAAAAAGAAAAAGAAGGTCTCTGGGATAATCACTGATCAAAATGGTTGGCTTCGGTTTCTAATTGCTTCTAGCCAAAATTACAGAAGATATGAATGCTGATGAAATGAGTGCTGAGCTTGTGTGTAAGCAGACGGACCCACCATCCATACCTATTTGCAAACTTTACCCTAATCGCAGTTATCCTATTGGAGAATGCTTTGAGTATCTGAACTGCGCTGATGGGTAGGTGAGATCCTGATTTACGAGGCCAAAATATTAACTATAACATCACTTGTCTTGTTCTTATATATGTTTATATATATCTTCAAACAAAATCTTGGTTCCGCGAACGGTACCTTTTGTAAACCGTTTCAACTTTGATAGAGATACGTATAAAAACCTCTTTCTCTGTCCTCGTGATATCGCCACTCATCTGTGTTTGAACTCTTCCTGATATCCAGCAAAATGTCCAACAATCGAATGACTTCGGTGGAGTGTCGTGCATTAGATGATGCATGTCTCGAAACCTGGCAAGACTTTCGCGAAGCTGCAGAGGTTCATCGACAGGTCAGGCGTTATGTTAAAAATTGGATCAAACCTGGAATGACCATGATTCGAATTGTCGAAGAGTTTGAAAATACCAGTCGAGCATTGATTCTAGAACGAGGTCTTCAAGCTGGTCTTGCTTTTCCTGTTGGTTGCTCACTCAATCATTGCGCTGCCCACTATACTCCTAACGCGGGCGATGAAACTATCCTCAAATATAGTGATGTGTGCAAGATTGACTTCGGAATCCATGTGAATGGTACTTGAATTTTTTCAATAGCATAGTTTTTATCTGAAGTAGATATTCATCTGTATAGTCCTTAGATTAATATTTATGGTCTCAGAACAAACTAACTCTTGCGTCTTATTTATGTTTTATTAACTCGACTTAGGACACATAATTGACTGTGCGTTCACGCTTACGTTTGATCCGGTCTATGATAAACTGCTCGAAGCCGTAAAAGCAGCTACTAATGCCGGAATAAAGGTAAATTTCCATCTAATTTTTCCGTTTCGTTTACATTCACTAACTTTTATTTATACAGGCTATCCAATACCTCGCGCCACTTGGCGCTGTTATTAATTCCCCAAATTTAAACTTTGTTACTTAATCTGACATTTACTCTGAGATATCCCTATGCTGGATTTAAATGGGCTTGTCTACTATCTCACAGATCGCCGCTTTCTCGCGAACTTCTTTTATGCGTCAGTTAAAGGGGTGTGTGTAAAATTATTGTTGGTTTTTAGACCGCTTTATTTGGCATTGGACTGTCTCACTTATACACTAGTCGATAAAACACGATTAATATACGCTAACACAAATTGTAATCCCTAATTTTGAAGCATCTCAGCTTCATTCTTCTAGCTTTCAATGCTAGTGCACCCTCTACTAAGTTTGCGTCTGGACCTATGCACTCCACACAATGCAAATCGGAGAATAACTACGCATACACGGGCAACTCTATGCGTTATTTTAAAATATGTTCCTACTGTCTGTTGTATACCGAACTGACCACGAATCATTGGTTAAGATTATTTAAAAATATGGAAATTGATATAAATGACTAGAATAGAAGTGATACCTTTGTGGTGGTTGTCTTAATATTCGTGAAAAATCATTATTAATCTATTAGTGTTATAAGGGCCAATAGCGATAAAAAAATCGACGAATCCTTACACAATCAGATGAATTTCGCTGTTTCCTCAAACGCATTGGAGTATAATTCATTATCCTAGCATGAATTGACGAAAATGAGATTATTTGGCTTATTCTGATAAGGTCACCGCCGAAATTCCCTTCGTTTTAACCTATCTATCATTCCATCCTGCTAGCATGCACATGATTGGAAAATTTAGAGGTATGGGTGGTGGTTTTATACTAAATATATATCGATACATCTGCGTTATCCAGCATTGCTGAATTCGCCGTTTTAACGAAGGTGGATAGTCATTTGAGCCATACATGCATGCCTCTCCGACTATCTTTGTTGAGAATGAGCCTTTTATTTTTTCATGTATACCATTGTAAGTACATCTATTATTAAATCGGAGGGCAGTTGCTTTTTTATACTTTGTCCTGATGATTACAATGCATGATATGTTATAACGAATTGTTTACTTTGTCATTAATTTGTGTCGCCAACTCTAGATCTCAACTTACACCCGATCTCAGTCTTTCGACACTTCCATAGAATTCATATCAAAGGGAAGACCTTTTTTATATAAGTGGAGTAGTGCTTAAAACACAGAGAAACTTTACTTTGCAGTACTTCATTGACATTATAATAGTGGTTTGGGATCGGAACTATCTTTTGACTCAGAGCACCAACCTGCTGTATATTTTGTCTCCTTCATTCATGGAAGCTTATTTCTCGAGTTTCTTTCGACACTATTCCTGCATGCATACTTTTTGCATTTTTTTATGTTTGTCTCATTCTCTGATTATCCCTTTCCACATCTTAGATGGACGGAAATTTTTAGTCGCTGTGAAATTTGGCTTTGTTTCTTTGACTAGCTTAGCAAGGCACTTCATCCTAGTGTTTGGCAACAAAATACTAATATGTCGTTTGAATACACACATTAGTCCTGCTATCTATCCTCAGTAGGAATATCGGTTTTTTGAAACTGAACAATTCATTATTGCTTTTAGTTCAAGTTTACATGATCTGAATTAAATTACAATTCAGATACAGAGCTGTGAATGGATCTGTTGTTGATAAGATGCTTTTATTCGGTTTATGTTTGCAGGCTAACTATCCTGCCATATCACTATGACTGGATGAAGTTTGCCTGTGAGTATTTTCGATCCGCTGCTAACATATCCTGATTGATTGAGAAGTTTGTATGCTCAATCTATAGGCTTCTTTCAATGAGGACTATTTTAATTGACTTTGGTTGGGTTTTTTTTCTAGGTTCTAAACATACTAGGCATTCTGGCATTCTTCTGGGACAGTCTTCATTTTCTTGTAACTTAATTTGAAAATTTTCTAGGCATCTTCCTCTTTTATTCTACTATATTGCTAAGGCATCTGGTCCCTAGTTTGATTTTGAGGTCTTCAATGTCACCCACTTTGCTTGATTTTAGAAGAGTGTATACTTCTAATCTTAACTACATTTATTTGCGATCCTTGGGCTCTC